GAGAAAGATTATTGCAGGATAACATACTAACTTAGGTGCTGCATGAGTTAAGTGAAACCATATTACTCCTAAATGCTGACTAATAATAGACAGTTTAGGCCTAATAATGAATTGATAAGAATGAAATAATTTAAACAAAAAAAAAAGGCAAGATCGGATGAAGTTCCTTACAAGTTCGCCAGAACTGAGAACTCTGTGAGCAAGGAACATAGCAACATCATACCTGCAGGGGCAAAAAATGTAAAAACGTACATGTAGCTGAATCAATAAGGTGGAAACTGGCCAACAGCTTTATCAGCATGCTGTGAGAAAGGATTAGAAAGTAACCCTTCTAATCATGCATCTTGATGCCAACAACTTCCAGATTTAATAAATTTCTTATATACCAGTAAAAGATGACAGCCCCACCATGAGAGTTTCCTTGCAGATTCTTCATGGTCTATAAGTCCTGGAATATAATGAGTTATTCTACTGTCTTTTTGCAGTTATTAGAGATCTTTCAGCATTAGAATGGTGCATATTCTCTCCTTTCCCACAAGACTGTTTGGTAAGGCTCCTTTTATTATCAAAAAGACAAAAGAAAGGAACGAAAATCTAGCACAAATGAGGAAATCTTTTTAAGGCATGGTTTTATAAAATCATGCTAATGCAGATTGGTTTGGACTAAACCTGTTCCCAAAGACATGATTTCTTGAGAACAATGGTTAGGAGCCTTGCAAGTGTCAGGATTTACATGAAATTGGCCCAAATTGAATGGTTATTATGTCAGTCTCAATCTTTTATAGCCAGGAAATAATCATCATTTAAAATAAAAAGGAGGAGAGGAGGAATTAAATTTGTCACTGGTATATCCACCCAACCAAACATATTCTTAAATTAACCAGCACACAGAATTGAACAGTAAAAGAAAAACTATGATGAATCATCTACTCCATGTAAAATGTTGGCAACAGAAAAACATCTGCCCTAGTATTCAAATGACATAGCCCACTAGGCTTGACAGAACAACACAATTAGCCATGGTGAACCATGGAATGAGATGACAAAGTATAGCTTTATGCCAACAAGCCATTAGAAACATGATCAGAAAGTCACATGTGCAACATCAAATTTAGGAGTGTTCTCCTACAAATGCTTCAGACGGACTTGGTTAAGTTATGAAGCTTAGCTCATGGAAATATTAACTCTACAAATTCTAGAGCTGATTCATTTTGTGTCACAAGTTATAACTACCATATACTTCAAGGAATGTTTCTCTTGCCAATGCGAGAGCATAAAGGACTCGTACAAGGCAAAGAAGAAAAAATACTTCATAAAGGAACCCTGAAGGATACTAAAGCAGCTACTTTGCAAATGCGTAACCAGAATCACCAAACATACATACCAAGCCCCATCTCTTGATGATTTCGCTTCAAACTCTAGCTCTGTTTCTTCGGATGTTTTCTCTTCAATCTCTGAAAAAAATGGATGAAAACTACATATATAAAGCTTGCTTAATTGTATCCTCAGGCAGAGGTGTTATTGTGCCAGGAAACATTAAATGCCAACTATAGTGTTTGCAGGTTAAAATAAATTGTTTTTCTAATTATTTTTTGGGTAACATTTTCAAACCTTCAGTTTGGATAATCAAACAAATGGCTTGATGCAAATATAAGCATTCAATTCAGAAGAAAGTCCACATGAATTTAATCAATCTATAGGTTAATGAAAATTTTGACTTCCTGCAAAAGAGATAATTAATTCGATCAACTTATCCAAAACCTATATTTTTATGACATGCACTGCTATTAATAATTTGGATGCAGCTAACCACAAAATCAATATTTATAGTCTAGGTTCAAGATGATAATATTTGCTGCTTTCAGTTAAATTGTGTTCCATGTAGGGAACAAGGATTAGTCACTTTAAGATTTGGTTCTGATTTTATTTCAAAGTTTTGATGTGTTAATTGTTTTGGGGTCTAAATTAAAATATTCAAGTTCTGTCATTTTATAGTTCATGATGCAAGCAATTTCTCTTAAAACAGGCGTATCCAGTGCACGCGGCTCACGCCAATGTAATTTCTCTTCATCTTATTAAATCAAACATATTTTAGTTGTCATACATCTCTCAAAGACAAGGTTATGAAAACTACTAAATCAATGAACTTGAACCAAATTAGAAAGAACAAAATAAACACATGTTAAATAGAATGTTCATCACACTTAAGGCATAAAACACGACAAAATAAAAGCATACGTGGATGGGCAGGCTTAATTTGAATATATATAAAGGAGAACCTTTGGGCAAGCCAGAGCTTTCAGGTGCATCACTTAGATTCGAATCTGCAACAACAACATCTTCTGAAGCAAGAGGTGAGGAACTGATTTCAGTCGCTCGAGGTTTCTGCTTACTAATTTGGGTCGGTGGCATCATTCCATTCTGCATTATCCAGAAAGGAAAACATGCCCACAGAATTATGCCCTTCGTACAAGGATGATACACTTATATATACTTTGTAAATTCTATCAAATTATCTCTAGTGGCAGCTATTAGATGCAAGTGAAAAGGTAATGATATAGATCATGAATAAAAAGGGAATAAGAAGAAGCGATTTAGTACGGGCATTGTGGCATTCTTTTTGGCATCGGCTGAAACATATTTCCAGTAGTAACAGGAAAAAAAATTAAGAATATATGTTCTAGTTCAACATTGTTTCATAATTCTTCCACAATCAAATCAGCTAAGAAAAAAAAAGAAAGATACAAACAGAAGATGACCGCTTAGGCCTAATGACCAACTCATAAGAAGCCCGAGAAAACATACGACAACATGTTTCAACAAAATATTACCTTTTCCCAAGCATGCATAGCAAAAAGGAAAACCTTCAAACAAAAGGGATTTCCTATCCCATTTCAAGACTACAAACACTGCCACGAGCCTATTACGAATGCCAAAGAAATAGGGCGAAAAGAAAGAACCGCTAAAAAACATGTTTATTTCAACTAACTCTGTCAACAATCACATTACCACAGAGAGTACCCCAGCGACTTTCCGTGAGGTCACGCGAGATGAAATCTTTGCCACAAAACTCAAAAACTGAAAGACTCGGTTTATTTCTATAAGACGAACATCGAAAAATGAGAGGCGAAAGGATGTGACTTAACAAAAAGGGCACAATCAACAAAAAAGCGTTCTCATGTTGCTTCAGAAACGGAAGCGGACTGCTCGAAGAAAAGCAAAAACAGGAAGAAAAAACAACGGGGGAGAGTAGAAAGACGAAGTTACCTCCTCTGGTGACCATGAAACGCGAGGAGACTGGGTTTTGGGCGTCGGCGGGCTACGAAGCGACCGACCCATGGAGTGACCGAGAGGGACCAGGGAAACCGAGTAGGGATAGCGGCCGCTGATTCGCCGGGTAGGGAAAAGAATTTGGAAGGCGGAGATCCCTATCGACAGCGAGAGAGAGAGCGTATATTAATCGGGTACAAATCGTTTGGCAGAGAGAAAAAAAGAGAAGTATTTTTTCCTACCCATTTACTAGCACACGTGTTCGCAACCTTCCCTTTGATTGGAGGAATAAGGAATCCTGAGTAGGCCCAACGCCAGTTGGGCCATCCTGTTCTCTCCAATCGACGACGCCGTCAGATGGATTCCAGCGGTGGACAGGTCAACGATTACCTGCATCGTGATTGGAGGCCTCCAGCACCCGAGCGGGACCCATCAGTTGCACCGATTGCAGGACAGGTAGGC